ATCCATCCATCCATCCATCCATCCATCCATCCATCCATCCATCTAAGGTCAACTTATTGTCCTAGTAGTCATGTTTTTAGACTCTTAACTTCATGCAGAAAGACCCTGATCCACCCTGGAGGCTTTAAACTGCGCCATGGTGCACTCTGATCACAGGTCTCTATATTACTGTCCCACACAGTGATGCACCTTTATAATGTTGTACTATAGGGAAAACAGCTCTCCTGTCCTTGCTATACAATTTCTTTACTGTCCTACACTACACTTATGTAATGTTTCTCCTTACATCATTACTATACTCTCAGCAGTATAATATTGCCTTTTCCTTTACTTATATTTTTACTGTCTGGGTGTACTATGAGACTACTGATTGATTGATTGATTGACTTTATTGATTGACTGATTGATTGATTGACTTTACTGATCTCAGAGTTTAGAAATTGACTCGCTACATCAGCTCAAATAGTCAAAGAAGAAGAATGTGCCAAAGGAAGAAAAGGGTGGATGGGATATATAAAGTATATAGAGCGTGTCCACATATGACTGTTTTTTATTTTTTTTATTTTCTTATACTGCTCCAGCAAATGCTTTAATTACGCTACCCCAAGAAATACTATTGATGTACTATCCCGAACACTAGTAATACTCTGCTGGCTTCCACAATAGCATTATATTGTCTTGCAAATATGACCATTTTAATACACTACTTAACTTTTCTTTATTTCTTCTATTCTGTACTTTGTGGTCACTCATTATACCGTGATTATACACTAACCATAATGTCCTAGACTATTTTACCTTACTATCTTTTGCTTTACGTGTTCCACACAAGACTATCTATATACTAGATCTATATAGTGCCAAATCCTATTAAAGTCATATTCCTATAGTGTGTCATTAATATGGCTACTACTATAGGTGTTTTAACAGCTGCTTCGATGTCTTCTAGTCAGTACATAGACTGCCCTCGTTAATGTGTTCAATGACAACAGTATAAATGCAGACTGTGGAAGAACCAAGATGCTGGAATTATTGGACCTCAGTGCAGCATTCAACCCTGTTGTTTACTCCAGTGTCTGGACAACTGGGTCAGCCTTTGTGGCACAGCACTGGACTGGTTTAAATCCTGTTTGACAGACAGGGAGTTTTTTTAGTCAAAGACCAGAAAAATCTGATGTGGGGTTCCCCAAGGCTCCATCTTGGGGCCCATTTTATTCAATATCTACAAGCTCCTCCTTACTAATTTTTCTTTAAATAACAATGTAAGTAATGATAACTATGCAATTCAATTAATTTTATTTCAGTTTATATATAAAGCACCAATTCACAACACATGTCATCTCAAAGCACTTTACAGATACAATTTAACCAGATCATACAGTCAGATTGTTTCAAAGTTTTCTATCTAAGGAAAACCAGTTCATTGCATCGACTCATCGACTCGAATGCAATCCCTCACACCAAGCCCACTTGTAGCGACAGTAGAGAGGAAAAACTCCCTTTTAACAGGAAGAAACCTCCAGCAGAACCAGGACCATTGTGAGCGGCCATCTGCTGAGGCTGACTGGGGTTAAATGAAACACATACGGCTATACATTATGAATCCATTCAATCTCTGGGTAAATAAAAGAAAGAAATCAATGTACGGATGTGCAAATATTTTTTTTTCTTCTTTCAGCTGAACAAAAACAAAACTGAAGTTATAGTTTTGGAATCAAAGGCAGGTATTTTAAAAGTGAGTTCGCATTTTCAGTTAATACAGCTAAAAAACGCTAATCAGGATCAAAATTCGTGTGTAGTGATGGACTCAGACTTGACCCTTTAGAGGCAGATAAAGATAGCAACAGTCAGCCTTCTATCACCTAAATGATCACAGCCATCCTGTGATGGTGTCAGCTGTGACTCCATCCTGTAGAGAAATATCAGCTGTGCTGCTGCCATCAACACCTTTGTTTATAGATGTTG